ATCATGTAGTCCACTGAGACAAAGGAGAGCCACTCATGCCGCCCACTCACTAGTCTTGATTGCCCATCGCTGACTTAAGGTTATGCTATGAAGGTGGTGATGATATATGAAATCATCCTAATCTCAAGCAAGGACATCCAAACCAGATCATCTCTGTCTCCAGTTTTTGATATCTCCTTTGTTCATGAGAAGCACAGCTGTCAGGGCAGTCACTCTGCCAGGTGACTCTAAGCTACAGACCCCTGAAGGAAGCCATTTCTAGTGACAAGCACATGAAAAAATGTAAAGACTAGGATTTCAGCTTCTACTTGGCATGATTCTGCAGACTGTTCCCCTTGGGTCATGTGTTCTCCAAGTTTGTTCCCGGGAAAGCGCCCCAAACTTAAATATCATTATAATGTATACAGTGTAGACTATAGGCAGTAGCCATCTTGGTCCGAAGACATTAGACAGACAAGGCAGGAGGAGGAGGTAATACCTTTTATTGGACCAACTTCTGTTGGCAAGACAGACAAGCTTATAGAAGCTTTTGTAATCTTTAAGAACGTTCCATCTGAGAGACTCTCTTGCCTGCTAGTAAGTCTTAGGGGTGAGATTGTTTACTGATCTAGAGGTTCAGGATTTGTTTCTTGAGAATGAGGACCCCATGCCTGAGATGTGTGCTTCTCCTCATGTGAGAGGCCACTCTACAAATCTCATAGAGATAGAAATATGGTTAGGACAAGAGGTGTCTCCTAAGGGAGGGCTGCATCCCTGGAGGAGTGGAGAACTCATGATAGAGGCAGCTGACTTAGACAGGTGCACCAGTGAAGAATGAGCCACCAGCAGCTATTCCTCACCACATTTACAGTTTCTCTAGGGAGAGACAGAAAGATAGGAACCATCAGACTTTTCACAACTGCCTCCAAAGCCAGGTGTAAATGGGCCTGTCTCCACTTGTGTTTTCTGTGAGCCAGTGATATTGCCTTTGTGCCCTGATACACAATCATATGGCTCTTCCCTATGATAGTCAGAAGTACATGTCATAGATTGTATTTATTCAGGCCATTGCATCTCATATGCAGCATTCCTGGTTGTCCATGGTTCTCCTGCATTGTCCTTGGTTGCAGGTACCCTGGCCTCACTCTGACAAACTTTCCGAGTGTAAAATTGTAAGAGGGGAAAGGATGGTACTGAGTCTAATGTATTGTACTGGGAGTCAAGAGAGTCATATTGTGACATGACTGATGGAAGAAGAAAGTAGGGAGGGGAGGAGAGGGAAGACTTGGAAAGGGAGCGCATTGTACAAAACACAATACTTCTACTGTCCCTCAGTAAATGAAACCAACTGGACAAAGCTGCTGACTCAGCAGCACAAACCCTGATGGGAGGATGTGACTGGGATGTGACCTCAGAATTCCCACTCAAGACCATGAGTAGAGACTGACCTAATATTCACAGGAAGAGAGGAGTTTGCAGCATCCATAACCTCTCTACAGCCTGGCTGTGGAATGGCATTCAAAGCACCAGAGAGGGCGGCCGTATGCACCTTGCTCCGTTATAAGTGAAGGGATCAATGAAAGTCTTCTCATAGTTGCTGCTTTAGGTCCTGACCTTGGAGGCTGGGCAAGTGTAAAATCAGAGGAAAAGGCTGGGTAGAACTAAGCCTGGAGGAATGCAGGCAAAGCCATAGTCACATAGCTGGGACAGAGCAATTAACACAGAGGTGTGATAATCTGTAGATATAGTTTATGTTGTTATTGCTGTTGCATTTCAGTAGCACTTAGAGACTCCAACCAATATCATGACCCCTTTTTGCTAGGCACTGTACAAACACATAATAAAAAAGCCCTTTCTAGGAAGCACTTACAGGGTAACCAGATAAACCGGACAATGGGTGGGAGAGGAAATAGAGACCTGGAATGATTTGCCAAGGCCGCCCTGCAGGTTTCCTGGCTCCCAGTCAGGTGCCCTATCCTCTGAACTACTCTCCATCCCCTATTGTCAAGGAGACCTCTGCTCTGTGTGGAGTTCTCCATTATTCTCCCAACACCATCACCAGTCCTAACCAGAAGAAACACCATTGGGCTAAATACCCTGTGGAAATCCCTAATTCTGGCCATCGTATAGGCAGAGGTGAAAGTGAGGGTGTGTGTCCTGGTGCACAATTCTTGCAAGAGCTGGCTGAGTTGTGGGAAAAGCCTACAGGGAGCTATTTAAAGAGGTGGCAGAGACCCAGGTTGCAATAGGCCAGTACCTGTAAGAATTTTTAAGTTACTTTCATGGATGCACATAGATAAATGTAGGGAACCCAGCCCTGGTTGGAATCTGCAGGGCATAGAAGAATGAACTGTAAATAGGGATTTATTCTGCATGCTGCTAGCACTCCTGTCATGTAGTCAGCTAGTGCCTGCTCCAAGTCTGGCCCTTTCTTTGCAAAGTCCTGTGCCTTTCTCCTTCATGCTGGCTTTCAAGGGAATCAGTCAGGCTGCAATGCAGGGGGTGGTCCGGATGAGCAGCTCCAGTTCAAGTGACTGTGTGACTGAAGGGAAGTTAATAGCGCTGGAAGAAATGGCAGGTTCTGTGCAGTGTAACTCGCTGCAGGACCCAGCTGGATGAAACCCTCAGAAATAGGAACACTTGGACCAGTTCCCACAAGCCAGGTTAACGCCTGTGCGTGAGAAGAGGTTTGTGTCAGGAAAGGCAGTGCAGAGCTCGCACTAGCTGCTGGGTTTCACAGTGCAGCAAAGTTCTTGCCCCATCTTTATTGCTTATTTCTTTTGCCCCTGCAATCTCCAGTGGGATGGTACCAGGCCTTGGGGCACAGGCATGTCACAGAATCATAGAATCCTAGGGCTGGAAAACACCTCAGGAGGTCATTGAGTCCAACCCCTGCCCGAAGCAGGACCAACCCCAACTAAATCATCCCAGCCAGGGCGTTGTCAAGCCGGGCCTTAAAAACCTCTGGAGATGGAGATGCCACCACCTCCCTGGTAACCCATTCCAGTGCTTCACCACCCTCCTAGGGAAATAGTTTTTCCTAATATCCAACCTAGACCTCCAGCACTGGGAAGGTCCCTGAAGGTTGGTTTCTTCATTGATTTAGTGGCAATTCAGAGTCCACTGGTCCTACATTGGGGGCCTCTTCCGAGGGCTCCTCTCCACCACTGCTCCAGCCTGAGGTCATCTCTCCTCCCTGGAGTGAGGGGGCCCTGCTATGGCCTCTGCTCAAAGACAGAGCTAAGGAGCGGTAGCCTCAGCCGCGCTGGCTCCCCTGATGCTCAGCTGGGTCAGGAATGGGATCAAACCCCTGCATGGCACCTCCACCACCACCGCCCCTCACCCCATGAGCGAGGTGCCCCGAGTCCGGAGCCACAGGGACCGCTGAGGGGCCCAGAACTCTCTGGGGCTCAGCGGCCGCTTGTACAGGCTGCCAGGCGGCCCAGGGCTGGGCACTGGCTGCCTCAGCAACTCGAAACGCAGAGCCTTTCCGCATGCCAGCGGGAGCCAAAGCAGGACCCGCGAGTAGCTGCCCCCGGCAGAGTCCCCGGGCTAGTGCCCTGGCCCTGGGCAATGGGGAGAGTCCCTCGTGTGCCAGGAATAAAGGGAGCCGCGCCTGGGCCGCGCTGCCTCTCGCCTTCTCTGACTGCGGCGTTCGGCCAAGGCACGCAGCCAGACCCGCTGTCATTGACCTGGGGGCTGCGGGAGCGGGCGGAGCCCGTTAGCGGGAAGCCTTTGCCCGTGCGGATGAGCTGCCTCCGGGCCAGGAACCACGCGCGCACTGGGCCGGGGCTTCTCCGCGGGCTCCCGGGGGTACTAGAAGCGCAGCGCTGACGGCGCTCCGGGCGGAGAGGAGGAGAAGGCTGCGGAGCCGCAACCCAGCTCCCCTGGGTGGGAACCGCTCCCCGCGCCGCTCCGAACCGCGCGCCGGTGTGGCTGCGAAACAGGCAGACGCGCAGCTCCCTGGAACTGGCTCCAGCCTTTTAGAAACGTGACAAAGCGGAGACCTTCCAGCTCCGCTCGCATCCGGCCTTGTCCGCGCCTGGAAATCCCGTTTAGAGCGTGGATCCCGGGGGATTTCCCTTCCTCCCTACGCAGCTATTTACCCGCGGAGCCGGGCTCGGCCGGGGCCGGTCAGGGGCACTGCGCTCCCAAACTTGTGCACAAGCGAATCGCCGGCCCCCTGACAGCCAGCGCAGGCCGGGCGGCGGGGGGATGCTCCAGGCAGGCGGGCTGCAGCCTGCATCCCGCTACGGGGCCCCAGTCTCCCTCTGGGGCTGGCTGAGCGGTGGCAGGAGCTGTCTTTCAGCACCACGGCACCTGCTAGTCCCTGGGTGGCCCGCGACCCTCCAGCCCGCCTCCTGCCCGGGAGCTCAACCCCGCAGCCTGCTGGTGGCAGAGCGAGCCCCGCGCAGCAGCAATGTGCGCTTGGTCAGGGACCCGCTCGCTGAATCCAGACAACTTATTCTGCCAGCTCAGCCAGGAGATGGGGGGGAGGGGGCGAGGAGCAGGAGAACAGAAGTGACTGGCTGCTGGAGAGCCTGGGGGGGAACCGCCGCGGTGGCACAGCGCAGAGACCCCCCAGGATGAGCTCCGGGGACCGCCAGATACTGTGCCGCCGCGGGGGGAG